TTAGCGACCGTTGCAGCATCCTCATGGTCACGTGATCAAAATTTTGTTTGGCAACAGATTGTATTTATGATGGTTTCAGTGTCCTGGGGTGACCTTTTGACAAAAAATAAAATTTTTAATCAACCCCCCCCCCCCCCCCCGGTCAATGGTGTCCCTCTTTACCAATCTGAAAATCTGGTCACCTTACCCATAAACCAGGTTCTATCTAGTCAACCCAAATATGAAACCAGCATCCATTCATCTGGCCTTAGGTATTTTTTACTGAATTAAATATTTTATGAAAAATATTCCAGCCAATTGCCAAATGGACTTCCTATTATATTCTTAATGTCACTTATCCAACCCTAGAGCATTTTATCAGAACTACAATCCTTGATTCCTCAACTATAGAGTATATAAAACCTTACATACAAAAATAACATATTAAGATAGATATTATTTTCCAGATGGTTTGGAGCTAATTATACTTCTCATTCCTGCATAATACTACATGGAAAAATCAGTAGTGATATATCTAAATCTCTGCATTATCACTTTTTATTTAGCACAATCGTTGCATTCTAGAAAACACATTTTATTTCATTTTCTGCCATGGAGTAATTTCATGTTCAGGAAATCATAACCTGGGATTTCTAAGCAATGGGCTACTGCAGTGCTAGCATATATTCCAAGTTGGTGGTGGGTTGCCAATTTTTTTACTACCAGTTCGGCCGTGCTCCCATGCACGTGACACTTCTGCACATGTGCAGAAGCATCCAGGTGGATGGGCAGAGCCTCCCGCCACCGCTACTACTGGTTCGCCTGAACTTGGCCGAACCGGGAGCAACCCGTCTCTGTTCCAAGTATAATGTAAATCTAGAAAAATCAACTTTTTCCCCCTCTACCTCTTTCATCTTCCATCAAGATATCCAATTTTTGAACTCCTTCCTAATCTCTTTTACAAAAAGTAGTTTAACAAAAATACTCCTGTGATTTGGACTACCACCATATTCATTCATTCATTCGTTTATTCATTTGTTGTGATCTTGCCCTCTTCTAGTACAGCCGTCAAGTTGATTGAGGAAGCAAGTTGAAACTGAACTTTAAGAAGTTGTCACTCTGGCTTAGTGGACAGATATCCTGTCCACAGTCCCAACCCAGAATTCTACTGTCTATCTTTGCCCTATTCTAATGCTTTGGAATTCCAAATGCCCTGTCCAGTTAATTCCCAAGTTTTTTTATCTGAAAAGTAAGAAGGAGGGAAAGTATAAATCCTATCCAAATTCAATACATAAATACTAATCCCATCTTGGGTAAAAACTGCAAATTAATTTCAGTGAAAACAAATATTAAGTCGTGTTTGTTGTATTTAAAGTCTTACACAGCGTAATTTCAGACTATTTGAAAGAATGCCTTCTTCTATATGAACTTCTATATGCTTATTGAATATATCCAAGGAGTATATTTATAGTTGTCCCAAATTTCTTTGGCAGCAACTCAGGATCAAATCTTTTATGTTGCCTCTCTAGATCTTTGGAATAAACATTTTATTAGGCAAGTCCTTTAAACCATATTTTAGAACATTTAATTAAAAGTATTAATTTTAAATATTAATTCTACTTGTTTCATTTATTTTAATGCTATTTTAACTGTATTTAATCTCTCATTTTAAAATTATTTTCGTATATTTTAAACCAGTGAGAATTTTTTGCTAATCAGACAGAATATCAGATTCAACAAACAAATAAAGTACATGTTCTTATTTACAGCATAAATAGGACAAAACATGGACTAACGGTTGAATCAGGCAGAGAATATTTATATGGGATCTGAGCATGACTTTCTTAAATCCCATAAATTCAAGTTGTTTTTAAAAGTAGAATTAAATCTGGTCCAATCCAATATGTACCCTTATAATATTGTTCTCTACTGTTAAATTCTATCATTATAAAGCATTATAAAGTGTCCCTCAAAACTCATATATCTGGCAAACATTGAAGACTAGAAACTTTGTTTTAGAAGTTAACCACTGCATCATTAGCAAGTGATGAGTGGTCAAACTATTTTTGAAAGGAGACCTTTGCTTACTAGCCAAAAGATAATTCAGTCATTTATTTAAACTTTGCTTATCGTGTTGTAACATCATGCAGAGTTTTTTTTAATTCTACTTCATCCTTCTGATGTATCTAACAAGATACGTAACATCATACTAACATAAAACGTCTCAAGGTAACTTACTTGATTCATTTCTAGTAACATGCCTTTGGAGGAAGTCAACGATCTGTGTCAAAGCCTTTTTGTTACAATGTGTTGAGAGTTCCTCCTTACATTCATAACACCTGAAATAAAGCATTTAAATGCAGTAACAATAACTCTCAAGGACATTCTTATGACACTAGCCATATGCAGACATTCTAAAATCTAGAGTGCTCATGATGAGCACTGGATAGGCCACAACTCCACTAATATAATTCAGATGTTGCCCTAGAGGAATCTGAAACTTAGAACTAAACAAATACTGTAGTTCCTATTTTGCTTGCTTATTTTAAAGACTAAAAAAGGAAGCAGTCTCATCTTAAACACATTGCTTGTGCCATTCACTAATAAGAATATATTACTTAGTTCAGAAGAAACCATAAGTGACCAGAGAGACAGTGGAAGGTATTCATTTCTTTCCCACTTCACTCGCTATGTAACTGGCTTTTGCATCCTGCAATGATCTCATAATACAAATCTGGAGATCAGGAGAACATGAATAGGGGTAGTACATCAAAAAAGTATGTAATAACACAATAATAAAAAATGGATTGGCTGTTACTATTAAAGTAATATTGCCTTTAATAACTATTAAAGGCAATATAACAAATTTCAAAAAGTACTTACTACTATTGAAATATAAATATATTTTAACAAACTATTAGACAACCCGTAACCTGTTATGTCCTTGTTTTGAAAGGTATTTCTTTATCTAAACAGAGAAACAGAGTGGCCAAGGTCAAAAAAGCAGTGGGAACAGGAACAACTTCCAATTTCCTGCCAGTCTGACCATGACTTGACTATCTCTGGCAGCCAATGGTATAACTAGTCCACCCAGTCTCCAGAAGACTATGGCAGGATTGATTTACTAAACCTCTGGGCAGTGGTGCGGTTGCACTGAAGTGACCAGAAATTTGCCAAAGTTCAATCCCACAGAAGTCAAGGGTCCCAGATTTTGGATGCATTCTATAAGTTAGCCATTTGATGTATCTTCACTCAAAAAAACTATTGCCCTATGATGCACTGTTTCACCAAGTTAAAGGTTACAGACACAAGTGTTTTAGTAGTATATAAATTAGTTTGACTTACTGAAAAAAACATGAATAAGAAACAAGCATTTGGTCTAACCAACCTGAAGAATGATTAAATAAAATAATATAAATTCTAGTACACTCATATGATGCTAATTTGCATCTTTAATCATTCTTAACTACAATTCTTGTAATAATAACTTGCACAAACTATGAGGCATACACACACACATACACGCAGACACTTAAGGCTACTTACAGTAGCAACTAAAATAAAGTTATTTCATTTCATGTATACACTCACTTATATACACCTAAATGTTTAACTGCATATCTTTACCTTTACATGTACAAACCTTTATCTCTCAAAATGCGTATTAACTTACCATATGATCCATGTACTAAGATTGATTACAATACAATGAGAATCTGCCCGTGCAGTCTGGAAATGCTTTACAGAATGCTGACCTTCTGAATTTTGACCACAGCCCTAAAGACCATTGATAAAAATATATAATTATATTCTACAATGAAAGCAGCAAGTATGTTTTGCTCTACATCAAGCTACGGACCCATCCATTTTTTTTAAAGAACATCAACATACTTCAACAAGCATAGCTTGTCTGAATATGGAAATTGTGGAAACCATTATATTGTTTCCTTCATACTCAACCATTTCCATAACAAATGACCAGCATCATAGATAAAATGACTCTTCTGACCCACCCAAGAAATATAATAGCAGCTACATTTCCTCCTGGTTATGATGCAAAGTTGTAAGTATACTAGCATTTTCTTAAAACAGTGAGATCCGAAAGGTCTATGAAAGAAGAAGCTGCTGCATATTCATAACTAAAAACTAAAGTGTTACACTCAGCTCCCATAATACATAAAATTCCATAGGTCCAGTCACAATTCCTGGTTTTTGATACTTTAACAGAACTCTACAAAAGCAATGAGATGCTCTATGACCCAGATAACAAACATCTATTTATTTATCAAATTTAAGAGACTGCACATCTCTCACAGAGCAATTCATATAGGATAAGGACTGCAGGCCAGAAGCCTATCTAATCCAGCATTCTGTATCATGCCAAAGACAACCAAATAATTTTGTGAAGCTCAGAAACATGAACTGAAGAAAAATATCCCTCTTTTACTACTGATACTTTGCCTTTGTTTCTGAAGGAAATGCATGACTATCAGAATTACCTGTCAAGATTCTGTCTAGTCCCTTTTAAGACCCACATGACTGAATCACACCAAGATATATTTATTTTACGGACAACTATCATAAAATAAAGTCAACATAAAATCAGAACTGATACTAAAAATTAAAATAATAAATACTTCATGAAATTATCAACAATAAAATCCTGATCAAAAATGTGTCTTTAAAGCCTGTTAAAATTCCCACAAAGGCCTGTTTTCTTACTTCAACAGGGACCACGTGCCATATCTGGTGGCAGTGAATTCCATTGTTTAACAATGCTTTGTGTATTTTTAAAAAAATGTGTCTTTTTTAATAGTTCAGAACTCATTGTAATTAGGCATTAGGCACCCATTCCACAGGTGACCCTGGGTTCTAATAATGTTAAAGAATGAACACTTTCTATATATTTTTCACACTAGGAATGAGTGTTTTAAAACCTCTGTTCTGTCTCTCCTTAACATGCTTTTGCAAAGCAATTCCCAGATGCTGTATTTGTTCCATAGGATTGATGCATAAGCTATTATTTTATAATTTTAATTACCTGAATGCCACATCGGAGACAAAGCCATGTATCAGAAGGCATTACTGGTTCACCGTTATATATTCTCCTTTCCTTTAAGCACTCTGAGCATATTGACCAAACATTTTGAGCCACTGCTCGCTTCACATGATGGACATCAACTGCCTGGCCCACATGTTGGCATGTTAATCCTATATTGAAGATTTTTTTTTAAAAAAAGTTTCAAATGATTAAGACATATATAATTGCTGGAAGAAATATTTAATAAGAATATATTTTTTTAAATTGCAGCATAAGAAACTACATTAAGTTTTAAGATTTAAGAACATAAGATTTACGATTCCTCACATAATTCAATATCTGCCCCACATAAAGCAGCATCAATAATAAGTTTGAAGTGTAACTTTTTGATAGGCTAATACATTTTGTGCTGTCTTTCTCTCAAAGTATAATTCTACTTCTGATTGTTGTTGTTTTTTAAAATTTCTTAGCATCTTCATTTTTATTCTGTCACTTCTTTCTCTTTCTAGCTTTCCCCAAATCCAGCTTTTTCACCTGTAATGTCATCTGAGGAATCTTCATCCTGATGCTGATTTGCCTTTTTTTGTCTCTTATTTTTATCATGGGTAACCTTTGATGGATCTTTTACCCTCATCAGTTATTTGCTAGAAAAAAATAGAGGGGTGGGAAGAATAGAGCAAAAATAAATGAGATATGCATTGGTAAAAGGCAAACACTTTGGTTCCCATAAGCATAGAAAGCATCATAAACTATAAACATGCAAAGCAACATAAAGAGTCCAATTTTAGCACAAATACCAACTCGGATTTTTTAGCAAAATCTTCTCTTTGACTTGCCATAGCAATTTCAAATATTTATTATAAGCTACACCAAGAACAGACAGTAATTTATAATAACAGTGATTCCAACCAGAAATGGTTGGAATAAAATCAAAATGGAATCATTCTAACCTAAGCTCAAGTATCATTTGAAAACATAATTCAGTGACTCTTATTTAATATCTATTATTTTGTGTGTGTGCCTTGAAGTCAGTGTTAATTCCTATTGACTGCCTGGATAAGTACCTGCAGTTTTCTTGGTAAGATTTTTCGAAAGTGATTTGCCATTGCCTAAGGCTGAGAGTGAGTTACTGGCCCAAGATCATCCAACTGGCTTGGTGCCTAAGGCAGGACTAGAAATCATGGCCCCCCAGTATATAGCCCAATGCCTTAATTATTACATCAAACTGGCTCTTTTAATACCCTGCATTGAAGGGCAACTACACGGAGGCAGAATGTACAGCAGAATGAAAACTTCTGAAATTCAACTCAACTCATTTTATTTCATATTTCTTACAAAGTGTTCAAGGTGATATATTGTTTCTGCCCTTTATTTTATCTTAGCAATAACCCCCCGAAATAGACAGGTCTTAAAATAATTATAAATGTTAACCTTTGCATAAGACTGAGAAAATACATTTGAATTTCCATAGGAGGAAATTGTATGGAAAAGGAGTTTCTCCTATACAAAGAACAACATCAAAAAGCATGGAGAATATCTAGTTTCAAAGAGAAATCAGAAAAAAAAAATACTGGGCTCTTGAACAAATTTGATTTCAAGAATTATATGAATTTAAAAAAATCAATCAGAAGACTGCATGCACACAAAATGAACATTATATGCCTAAAAAGGTTCCTTCCTGAAATCTCCATAGGAAAACAAGTATGAAGTCTATAAAATGTCTCTTCCTTCTGAAAGAAAAGAAAGAGGTTCCTAAACAGGGGTGGGATTCCAAAAATTTTTTACTACCAGTTCTGTGGGCATGGCTTGGTGGGTGTGACAGGGGATTACTGCAAAATCCGCATTCCTTCTTGATCAGCTGGGACTTGAAAGGCAGAGAATAGATGTGGGCAGGGCCAGTCTGAGGTGGTATTTACCAGTTCTCTGAACTACTCAAAATTTCAGCTATCGGTTCTCCAGAACTGGTCGGAACCTACTGTATCAACTCTGCTCCTATCATTATAACAACTATCTAGCTACCAGCCCACACTTCAGCAGTTTCAACTCTCGTATGCTTTTACAGATTCTAATTTACCAAAAAGATTTATTTTTTATAGGTTGTATATGAGAAGAAAAGAGAGACTGAGCATCATAGTGTAATGATTAAACTGTTGGGCTGGGAGCAGGGCACTGAAGCCACTTAGGTGATCTTCATCTCATTCCTAATCTCAGGAGCATGCTCTGAAGGCTTCATGTTGCTGTGATCCAGGCAAGTGCAGTGCAAGTAAGTGGACCCTGTAACTAAGCAGCGGGGTGGTGGTGGTGGAGGATGAATTGAAGAGTGGGTATATGAGAGGAAAAGAATATGTAATTGCTTATATCATATCCAGTAACAGCAAAACATCTAACTTCAACTGATTTCAGAATGCTAAACAGGATTGGATCGGATTAGAACTTGGATGAGAAATCACTAAGAAATATTGGAGCTGTCAGCTTGTTTGCAAAGTCAAAGAAATAATCTCTAAGAAGGCAGCAGCCAAAAACCACCTCTGTAGTGTTGCCAAAAAAAATTGCACAGGTTGTGTCTACAAAGTCACTGGAAAACAGCCTTGTCTGGACTTTAATATTTTAGCACACATACTCCTTGACTTTTTTCTCTACTAATTGATACATAAAAATCTTGCTTAATAATGACTTAAACTCAATGTGCTTCCTATATAAATCTTTAGTACACGAAACGATGGTAACAAAGCCAATATCAACATTATTCAGTATGGATCATAATGGAGTAAAAAGATTGTCCTAGGATCCCTATCCATCTTCATTGCTATGCTGACTCTAATTATTATATTAAAAATAATTATAATAAAACTGTCATCCATAGTGACAAATGCAATTTACAGTAATTGTAGCACAAGATTACACTGCAGTGACAAAAAGCCTGGTGAGCAAAGTTGCTTCCTCTCTTGGCTAGGAATGAAATGTTTATAAAGTATTGTGTTTATGGAGCTGCTTGCAGAAATGTTCCATTTTTATGGCATTAGATATGTCCAGAGTGAGATCAATGCTGATCCAATTACAGTGAGGCCTGTTGCTATCATAACTAGCAAGTAAACAATGTCATCAATCAGCAGATCAGAAATTTCATCGCAATGACAGCTTTGAAATCCTTTCAAGCATGCAAGCACTAAATGCTTCCTGGAGCAATAAAAGAACCAGAACTACAGACCAGTAATGACAGAAGCATTCTTTTCATTTGTAACTGTCATGCAAAATTCTTCAAAACCCATAACCTTGATAGTCTAAACTAGAGGCATGCTCCACTTATAAATGGCATCTTGGGGGGAGTTTTTAAAAGGTAGCCTATTCCACCACTGAAATTATCTTGTAAAGCTCTACAGAGATTTCACTCAGCACACAGATGCTAGATATGCAACTAACTTTTTAAACTTTATGTGCATGTTAAAAGATAGGAACAGTAGAAACAGCATCAGTGAAGAATTCCTAGAGAGATCAACAAGGTGTCAACCCTGAAGCAAACCAGGCTGAGGCCATCTTTGAGGTTTCATGGTTGCCACAAGGCAGAGGTGCTGGCAGGTTGCACATGCCTAATCCATTCAGATACCCAGAAGATACAAAAGTCTGAGAAATGAGATTCAGGACAAACAGGAACCAATCCCTGAATCCTCTTCTACAGCCTCCCAAACTTCACTGCTAAACTCATGACAAACCACTGAGAAATGAAGGCAAAATGTTCAATCCTCATCAACAAACAAAAATATTAACGAAGAATGTCTTTTTTAGTCTTAACATATCAAAAATGAAAACCACTCCTCCACCACCACTCACTTAACCGAATACTATTCCCTATCATTAACCATGAAGAATTAGGATTCAATGGGCATGTTGTGGCAGGACTGATTCAAGCATCCTTTTCATCCTTCGCATCAGCAACTACACTATATTGCCAAAAGTATTTGCTCACCTGCNACACACACACACACACACACACATACATACATACATACATACATACATATGTCCATCCATCCGCACAGGAAGGGAGGGATGAAAGGTGGGTGCAACAGTGTTTAAAAATGGTCACGATCACTTGATAAAGAAACTACAGAGCAATATGAATTAATTCCCGCTTTATTATGAAAATTGATCTTTCGCAGAGGTGTCAAACTCACGTCATGTCAGGTGATGATTGTGACTTTTTCCCCCTTTGCTAAACTCGGAGTGGGCGTGGCCAGTGAATGACACATCCGGCCCATGGGCTATGAATTTGATATCCCTGTGCTAGATCAATGCAATTGAAATATTTTTCTAGAAGAAACCTTGTTAATGCTATTGCACAAAGGTCAGTCTGGATCTCACTGGTAGTAGTAGATACATGGGTGCCCAAATATTGAAATATTCCTTAAACCAGTCAAGAGGTACTAACCGAATCTTAACCTACTAATATATTTATAAAGCTTAATGAAATTTGAAATCTTTGGCTAGTTAAGGTTTGTTCATTAGTGTTATGAATACAGATTGTATGAATGTGGGTGATATTTTCCCTAGGTATAGCAGGAATTTTGCAGTATCCAAACCTTTCCATAAAAGCTTATGATCACAGTTCAGTTAATAAAAGTAAACTCTAGATTATATAGTGTAATACTAATACTAAAGATAATACTATTGATTTTTTCAGAGCTTTATTTAGGTCAGCTAGTATTTATTTTCTATAGACAATATATCAAATTACATGCTTTCTTAAATATACTTAGCAGAAAACAAAGGATCTTTACTAATTCCTGGACCTGGGAGGGCTGTGTGTGCATTGCAAGATGTCTGGAATCACACAGATCCAAAAAAAAGCCACATTATGGCCTCTTGTGAAATCAGCCTTTGATTCCTGTATTGGATTGTTTTCCAAATCATATTCATTTTCCAGTTAAAATATTGTTGGGAGAAATGTCCTTCTGGGTTCAGCTCCAAGTGGGGAAAAAGACACTGGAAACATGGAGGCTGTTTGGAAAGATGGTTTAATGGTGGACAGGACCACATGGCTTGAGGTCCTGGGAAAAAAGGTGATCACATGCTTCAAGGTGTTGAGTGAAGAAGAAGAGAAGAAGGGGCTTGCTGAGTTTTTTATACTCTGTTCGGCCCCACCTCACTGTTTCCTGTTTCTGTGTAAGAATTGTATTCTGGTTGGTTGTCAGACTCCCATGTGCCATGCAGGGCAGGCTGTGTTTTGAGTCCCAAGCTTGGTTGAGTTTCAAAATGCCATGTGGTGAATTTCTGTAGAAAACTAATCCTATCTTTGTTATGCAGAATAAACTAGATCAGGGCCCCTAATAGCCCATTGAGAAAGTTGGGGCTATTAAGAGTGAGACTCTCTCCTGCCTAAAAACATGTTTCTCCATTTCTTATCCGGGGAAATATAATATTCTGCCTTTTCAATATTTTCTAGGATATTTCATTCTTCTAGGAGAGGGATGGGTGCTAACTTCCTACAGTATCTTATCAGATTTTGGCAGAGACTTTTGAGTATTCCGTGTCCTTGTCTCCATTTCCTGGTCACCTGAACTGTTGCAACCCAGATTAGGTAGCTGTTATACCAACTAAACTGTAGTATATACAGGTGAAACTCGAAAAATTAGAATATTGTGCAAAAGTTCATTTATCTCAGTAATGCAACTTAAAAGGTGAAACT